AAGCTACTCAGATTGTGTTGCAAGCAGAAGCCATTACAGATTCAAAGGCAGATCCTGAGAGGAAAATATTAACACACCTCAAGACGACAGCAGAGTCAATTCACTTTATAAGGTATGGATACCTCAGAGGCATGTGACAAGCTAAAAGAGAGCACAAACCAAACACCTAATGCTAAAACCCAGTGTCGACACTATGGATCAATAAAGACTTTAAGGCACAGACAATATCCAGCCATCACTAATCCATCGTATATTTGTAAACTGTTGCTAATTTCCAGATGATATGCTAATAAAAGATACAGTTTCAGAACAGTGGAAGTACTGATGGTGACACATGTAAAGAGGTCTAAAAAGTAGAACACCCACTTTCATTAGGACAGAGATTAGCATTAGCTGAGATAATTGGAGAAGATACCTGAGTTATTTCTAGGAGAACTGGTTAATCAAGACCAGCCAGCAGAAATAGAATTTGTCTATGCTAATGGCTATGCTGTTAGTTTTGGTGTTTGTTAAGGAGCAAGTGTTACCATCCTATTAGACCAGTTACCATGGCTGAAGAGCCAGACCTTACAGCATTCAGAGATGAGACTATATGGTGCATGAGGAATGATTGTCAGGAATACTACAAGTTACACCACAATGCAACAAATGTAAGAGAATTGAAAATTTGTACCTTACTCACAATCAACAAACCTAAATTTCAGCCTGCCCCCTGTGTTGACCTCAAATTGATCAGAAGGGTTGGCAGAGATCAGAAACCTTCCAGAAAGCCATGGGTTCAGAAACAAACCACTGTTGACTAACCCGTCAAAAGGCAATCAGATTTCATTGGTCTTCTTAGACCCATGGATTAGGTCTTCATGTAGCATACTGTGGAATCATGGGATTGATTCACCACACATGAAGACCATTCAGCCAGTTGTATCAATGCTGGCCTTCTATAAATACAATTCTGCTAGTCCCACTACCCCTTTTTCTCTGTTCAGTTGCATATTCAATTTTGTTTTTAAAAATCACAATTGAAATTGCTTCACCACATTCCCAGGCAGTGTATTCAAATCCCAACTACTTACTACACAAAATGAATGTTTCTTTTGTCAATCTCTTTAATCTGTGTCTTCTGGTTTTTGCACCTACTGCCAATGAGAATGAGTTCTCTCTATCTACTGTGCTCAGATCTGCTTTGCGTTTGACCACTTCTAGTCAATCTCCTCTCCCCTCCTTTTACAAAACTTCAATGTAGCTTCCTTGCTCTTGTACTCAATGTCTTCACTGTAAAGTCCAGGATCTTGGTTAATGTTTTAATCACTTTTCTAACCTGTCCTGCCACCTTCAGTGAACGTAGAGCCCCAGGTCTTTCTGTTCCTGCACCCGCTTTTGAATTACACCTCTCCTTGTTCTTCTGACCAAGATGTACCATTTGTAGTTCTCTGTGTTACATTGCATCTGCACCATGCCACGAGCCTGTCTATACCTTTTTGAAGTCTATTGCAAGTCACCTCACATTTCACAATTTTTCAAGGGTTTGTGTCATTTGCACATTTTAATATTGTACCCTGTATATCCAAGTTCACTTGGATCAAGAAAAGATGGGATCCCACCTTTCTCCTCTCTGAGAATCAAGTCTTCACCACTACAATCTTTGTTGGCAAACCTGCTATGGGCCACTTTATCAAATATTCTTTGGAGAACCAAATACAGCACATCATCTGCATTGTCCTCCTTAATGCTTCCTGTTGCCTCATCAAAAACTCGTTAAATTTACTCCAATACAATTTGCTTTCAACAAACATGACTGGACTCCAGTTGATGTTGTTTAATTTGCCTTGGTTCAAGACAGGATACTCTAAGTCCTCAAAGCCCTGGGTGAAGAGGGATGAAAACGTTCCCGTTGGTCCACTCTTGATTGGACACAACAGGGCTCATTTAAAAAGGATCCCCTTACCTTGTGGAAACCTTTCTCTCACATGAAATGAATTTATGTTTTAAAAGGTGCCAATATAACCAGGTTTTCTTAAATTAACCAGAAGAGTGAGAAGAAATCATAGATTCACAAAAGTAGTACAGCATAGAAGGAGGTCATTGGTCCATGGAATAGAAATGAGAGAGAGATAGCAAGAACTGCAGATGCTGGACTCAGAGTCAATACAGTGTGGAGCTGGATGAACACAGCATGTCAGGCAGCATCAGAGGTACAGGAGAGTCGATGTTTCAGGTTTATACCCTTCAGTTCTGATGAAGGGTCCTGACCCAAAACGTCAGCTCTCTTGCTCCTCTGATGCTGCCTGACCCGATGTGTTCCTCCTGCTCCACACTGTATTGACTCTGAACAGAAATAAGAGGTGAGCCCAAAAAGTAAAGAAAATGAGCAGTGTTTGTATTGTTTAGACACATAAAATGATATTGTAGCCATTACTGGATGGTATTGTTAGCATTGATTTTGGCAGCTGAGCAGATGATTTTGAGATTTCTGGTTTTACAGTTTGGCAGATTTTTTTTGATTGCATTCCTTTTGACAGTGATTGAATTCCAGCATTTAGGGTGCGAGAGATTACCTTTGTTTACCTGCAGTGGAGAGATGTTCAAAATGCTAGTTCTCAAAGCTGTGGTCCTCTAGTCTGCACAATAGGGTGTCTGGCCCATAATACACACAGACTGGTATTGCAGTCAGTTTTTAACTTTATTTTTGTACATTCCTGGAAAGTAAAGCAGTAATGTTTGCAAGGGGTAGCTTTCTGCTGAGTGGAGGAGACCCCTTGGTATCTCTTTTTGTTAAATCTCTCCCTGTCTGAAGTTTCCCAACAAGTTACAGGTGTGACATTCCATTGACATCATGGTAAAACTTTGCCAGTTCCCACTGAATTTACATCCACAGAGGTTTCCTGTAGCAGTCATAGAGTCATAGAGATGTCCAAATGGAATCAGACCCTCTTACCTCTTCCTTTTCATGTACCCATCCAGATGTATTTTAAATGTGGTAATTGTACCAGCCTCCATCACTTCCTCTGGCAGCTCATTCCATACATGCACCACCCTCTATGTGAAAGAGTTACCACTGAGGTTCCTTTTATATCACTCTCCTCGCACCTTAAACCTATGCCCTCTAGTTTTGGACTCCCCAACCCTGGAAAAAAACCTTGACCATTACCTGTGCCCCTCATGATTTTATTAAGCTCTATTAAGGTCACCCCTCAGCCTCTGATGCTCCAGGGAAAATAGTCCCAGCCTATTCAGCCTCTCCACATAGCTCAAACCCTCCAACCCTGGCAACATCCCTGTTAAATCTGTTCTGAACCCTTTCAAGTTTAACCACACATTTCTTGTAGCAGGGAGACCAGAATTGAGCACAATATTCCAAAAGCAGCTTAACCAATGTCTACTCCTCTTTTTTAAAAAAATAAGAACACATTTTGGAATTAACATAAAAAATATACATAAAAACTGATCTGTTGTTGTAACAATTAGCCCATGTTTGTGAATAAGGAAGAGTGAACATCATCTAATATTACAGAATCATTTCATAGCTAAATAAGCACTACACAAGTCCATGCAGTAGTTTATTCGGCCAATGTGGATATTCCAAATCCTGTATGTTATTTTCCGAGTAACTTTGCTTGCTTCTACTTTTCGGAGGAAGGGTCACCAGACCCGAAACGTTAACTCTGTTTTTTCCTTCACAGATGCTGCCAGACCTGCTGAGCTTTTCCAGCAACTTTGTTTTTGTTTCTGCTTTTCTTCAACTGTTTTCTAATGTTCTGTGAGAGATCAATGTCGTACTGCTGTTTAATCAAGCACTAAGTGCAGAATTTAGCTTCAAACACTCAATGCAGTTAACAAAAACAAATTCCTGCAGATGCTAGAAATCAAAAATAAGCTGATGGTTCTGAAAGGATTAATGTTGAGGAGTGCATTAAGGTCGACCCAATCTGATATTGTAAGGACAGGGGGGGATGGACTGAATGGCTTAAGATCTCAAAGGAGTAGAGCTGTTACGTAGGGTTTCCCAATTGTCGCAGTAACAATGTCTGTCTTACGAACGTAATTTGTACCAGGCTGCTCGTGTGAAATAAAATGATACCTTGTGTAAGAAAAGAGCCTTTTCCAGTTAGATTCTCCATTGATTTTTCTCTACCACTTTAATAACCAGGCCCTATAGGGACAGCCAGAACAAGACGATTGGAGCAACAACTACCCAACAACATGGTGGCAGTGGTTTGTATAGTATGTTCCTGTGATACGTAGTCAGTGGTGATCTTCAGAAAATTCAATCTAGCAGCAGTGTTGGGACAACAGTTAGCAGGTCAGACAGCATCTGCAAAGATAGAAAAACAAGTGTAACATTTGAGGCCATTGTCTCTGTCATTACGGGTGAAAATTTGAAATGTGACTGTAATGACTGCTACAAGGTTAGTCAGATGAATCTTCGAGAATATGAATTTCCTGATTGGACCACATTAACAGCTCCAATCAGGGAGCCCTGGCTGACAGTTAAGAACAGGGGGCTCAGACATCCTGCTCACTCTGAGAGCTGGCTCTGAGGGGGCTGGATCAGTGTCAAGGATTCTCCACGTGTAAATAAAGGGTGACTTTGTGACAGGATAGCGGCATCTGTGGAGTTATTTCAGTGACAGGTTTTTAAAGCACTAGGAAGATCTGTATTTGAATGGATAGCAGGAGAGAGTAAACAGCTAAAAGGATGATGGGTAGGCAGAAGGAGTTGGTGATGGAAGAGCAAAAGGAATGAAAGACGTGTCTAGGGAGGTGTAAATGGCAAAAGTAGACTCGTGCTGCTGTTAAAAGAAAGTGGCTGCACTTTGAATTGTTGAACGCGCTATTGAGTCAAGTCTAACTGTTACTTGGGTTTACCTTGAGCTTCATTGGAACGTAACAGGAGGAACAGTTATGGTCAGGAGCTGGAGGTGGCTTTAGAACTGAACTTGCAGCGCTGGATGATGTTAGCTCACTCTATGGAAATGATCCTGTTCCCTTTGTTTTAATAGTTCCAATTACCAAACCATCCATTCAGATGAGTGTCTCAGCTCCTGTTGAAGGGTCCGCGATTTCGCTACTGTGTTCGGTGGACAATGGAACTGGACCTCTGGAGTACACCTGGAACAGGCAGGCAGCTCTGTCCAGAGGTCCTGTCAATGTCTCGGAGACCACAGACAGTCTGCTGAACCTGACCTCAGTAAACAGGAACCACACGGGCTGGTATACCTGCACAGCCAGGAACGAGGTGAATGAAGTGACCAGCGACCGGGTTTGGCTCGACGTCATCTGTGAGTTCCTTGAAATTCTCTGGCTGAAGCACGTTAGCTGAGGTTTTCATTATAAATATTATAGTGAACCCTGACCTTGTGCACAACTGGTGCCTCTCAGGCCTGGAAGCGAAATAATTTCAGGCCCAGGGAAAATCTTCTAAAACTGACATACAGTGTAATTGATTCCATTTGAGGCTTCTTAATAGCTGGCTTGCTGCTGGTTCCTCTTGTTATTGATGTTCACTGTGGCTCAGTGGGTAGCTCTATCACCTCTGTGGTGATAAGTGGAGGGGTTCAATTCCCACTCAAGGAAAACCTGATCTGACAGTCTCTGTTGCCGTCCTGTATTGTGTGTAGGTTAGTCCAGATTTGGAACGATTACTCAACTGTTGGTATGTTCAAACAATAGCTAGTTTATCCTACATTGCAGAACTGCCTGCAGCTTTCCATTAGTGTGTCCAAATCTCAGTCATTTGAACTCTCATATCATCATTGTGGAATGTGTTATTCACAATATCCTCGCCATTAATCATTATAACCCTAACGCTGCACGGTGGGAGTTTCTGTATTTTGGATGAGATGTCAAAACAAGACCCCATCAACTCTCTCATGTGAATACACAAGATCCTATCGTATTATATGAAGGTGAGGGGAAAGCATTCTCCTCAGCACCTTGGGCAATCTTTATCAACATCACAAAAAAAGATGATCTGTTTATTATTTTACTGGTGTATGTGGAATCTTGGTGAGAAAAATGATCGGCATTTTTCCTACACTGCTGTAGTGGCTTTTCAGCAGATACTATCCATAGCCTTTAACGTGCATCTGGATATCCTGAGGCCATGCTTAGTGCAGAGTCATAGAGATGTACAGCATGGAAACAGACCCTTCAGTCCAACACATCCGTACTGACCAGATATCCTAAATTAATATAGTCCTTTTTGCCAGCATTTGGCCCATATCCCTCTAAACCCTTCCTATTCATTTACCCGTCCAGATGCCTTTTAAATGTTGTAATTGTATCAGCCTCTACCACTTATTCTGGCAGTTCATTCCACACACGCACCACCCTCTGCGTGAAAAAGTTGCCCCTTAGGCCCCTTTTATATCTTTCCTCTCTCACTTTAAACCTATACCCTCTAATTTTGGACTCCCCTACCCTGGGGAAGAAGCCTTGACTATTCGTCCTATCCATGGCTCTAATGATTCTATAAACTTCTATAAGGTCACTCCTCAGCTTCCAGGGGAAAATAACTCCAGCCTATTCAGCCAATTTATAAATACAAGTATTTTTAACATTATTGGGCCAATTCTGGCATCGACCCAACATAATTCAGTTCAGCCAGCAATGGATGAAGAGTATAATTGGCCTTTGACTGCAATTACATTTGTACGGTCATTAATGTTACGCAGTTGTGGTCAATGAAGTTGAATCTAAAAGGACAATTGTGACATTTAACAATATGTGGTGAAGTCAGCTCACATCTTTCCTTTTCTAGACGGCCCTGATCAGCCAGCCATCAATGTCACTCCTTACACTCTCAACTACATTGGTTATGCAGCCCTTGAACAGGACACTGTCTCCATGACCTGTTCAGCATCTTCCAATCCACCCAGCCAGTACATCTGGTTCCACAATAACTCACAGATCTACGCAGGACAGCAGTTTGTCATTGAGAGAATTGCTCGAAGTCAGACAGGAAGCTACATGTGCCTCGCGCACAACACGGTGCTCAACGCCAGGACTAAGACTACCATCATACTCACTGTCTACTGTGAGTAGAATTTAATCTCAAATCGTTTTGGCTTCAAGAAACTTTTGTTTAACCTCAGCTGTTTCTCTTTGATTTTGCCATAAACTGTAGTAGTTCTTGACCGGTTTTCAGATTGTAGATGATCTGCAAGATATTTTAAATCTATAAGGTGAGATGAATAAATATCTGTTGTGCAAGGTTCTGTCTGTATATTGTTGTGATGTCTGTCCTATACTGATTTATGATAAAGAATAGAAGCAGTTTACACAACTGCAACAGTCTTCTTCACATTCTAACACAATCACACCTTTGACTGTAATTATAATGATTGATCTTGTACTTTTTTACTGAAAAATTGTGATCTTTTTCATTTAATCTCAAACAATTGTCAATCAGCCAAACTGTGTTGTAACATCATTCTCCAGTGTACAATGCAGTGCTCAAAACATACAGCTGATAGACTCTGAGACAGAATGCAGAGGATGAATGGGTAGTACCAAATGTTGCCACTTCAGCCCTCATCCTACCTAGGATCAGGAACAGCAGCTCGCAATGGGACACGGTCACCCAGGCTGCCTGATATAAGGGGACAGAAGAGGGTTATATTCTCCTCGTTATGTCCTTCTGAGAGGGACAATGCTTGAATAATGAATGTGAATTGGTTACTCCTTTTACTATCCATGTCTCCAACAAGCTTAACCTGACCACAGGCAATCTTTTGATGCCTTCGAAGAGCATAGGAATAGAGGACGTAGGAGCAGGAGTAGGCTATTCAGCCCTTTGTGCCTTTTCTGCCATTCATTATGAGCATGGCTGATCTGGTTGTGGTCTCGATCCCACTTCCGTGGCTGACCCCCATAATCTTTGACTGGCTGAGTCCATTGAACTGAATAGAATCTTTCCAAAATTAGTCATCACTGGCATAAAAATTGCATCATTTTGGTGGTGTCACTCTCTTGTTCTGCTCCATATTCACTGTTGCCCCATTATTACCCTCCCTAAATGGATTGGACAGCTGGATTGTTGAGCAATTCTTTTCCCAAGCATTGCCTTTACTTCAGATGCTGCAGGACCAAGCAATCAGTCCAAGTGAGATCAAGGAGTCCCAGAGGACTAATCCCTCCAGACTTTGCTTAACCTGGAACATAAAGTGAATGTTGGGAAGAGTGACCTCATGTGAAGACCGATTAACGTTTTGGATAAGTAAGTCACGGAATATTGGAGGCAAAATCATTGTGGCCATTAGAATGGATTTGGATGTTACTCTGAGAATATTGGAGTTGAATTTCAATGGGATATCTTATCCATGAAGTTTCTTGGTTATATTCTTTAAAGACATGTTTTCTTTTTACTTTCCCAATTCATCATAGCAGAAAATCAATTTCACCAACACCTTGATATTGAAACCAGCATTTACCTTGTAAGTCATAGGGTGAAGAGGGTTATCTAAGATCACAAAGAGATCTTGATCAATTTAACAAATGGGCTGAGGAGTGGCAGATGGAGTTTAATTTGGATAAATGCAAGGTATTACATTTTGGTAAAACAAACAAGGGCAAGATTTATACCATTAAAAGTAGGGTCCTCATTTGTGTTGTAGAACAGACAGACCTAGGAGTTCAAGCACATAATTCTTTCAAGTTTAATCACAGATAGACAGGATGGTTAAGAAGGTGTATAGCACATTTGCCTTCATTACTCAGGCCATTGAGCATCGGGTTTGGGACATTATGCTAAGGTTGTACAGGACATTGATGAGGCCTCTTCTGGAATACTGTGTGCAGTTCTGGTCACCCTGTTGTAGCAAGGATGTTATTAAGTTGGAGGGGTTCAGAAAAGATTTACCAGGATGTTGCCAGGAGTGGAAGGTTTGAGTTATAAGGAGAGGCTGGATAGGCTGGGACTTTTTTTACTGAAGCATAGGAGGTTAAGGGGTAACCTTTATAGAAGTTTATAAAATAATGAGGGGTATAGATAGGTGAATGGCAGAGGTCTTTTCCCTAGGATGGTGGAATTTCAAGATGAGTGGACGTATTTTTAACATGAGAGGAGAAACATTTACAAAATACATGAGAGGCAACTTTTTTTATACAGAGAGGGTCATGTGTGGAATGAACTTCCAGACAAAGTGGTGGATGTGTGTACAGTTACAACATTTAAAAGACATTTGGATAAGTTCATGAATAAGAAATGTTTGGAGGGATAAGGGCCAACTGCAGGCAGGTGGGACTAGTTAAGTTTGGGATTATGATTGGCATGGACTGGTTGGACCAAAGGGTTTGTTTCCGTGCTGTATGACTGACTGTAAAGGAACCAAGAGTATTAGTGGACACCATGTGCTCCCTCTCCATGGACAGCTGGGCACGAATGTAACCACAGAAAAGGGGCAGATATCAACAGCTATGACCCTTTTCACAGCCCTCTACCTGGACCTGTTAATAGACTTGGTCAGGCACAGGAGCAGGCCCATAGGGACGTCCTCTGACTCTCCCACACCCTCCACACTAGAGTCCAAAGACCATGAAAGTGGTGCTGATGTGCAACCAGAAATATAGTGAAAGATTTTACAAATAACTAAAAAAGGAGTGCAATCATCCTCAACCAACAGAACCCAGCTCTTAGGTACAAATTCCAACCAGGATCACTTGCTCCAATTTAACATCCCTGGGCATTACCATTAACCAGAAACTGAATTGGAATATCCATATAAGTACAATGGCTACAAGAGCAGGTCAGAGGCTAGGAATCCTGCAACTAATAATTCACTTTCCAACTCCCTCAAGCTTGTCCACCGTCTACAAGACACAATTGAAGAGTGTGACGGAATACTCCCCACTTGCCTGGATGAGTGCAGTTACAACATCACTCAAGAAGCTTGACACCATCCAGGACAAAGCATCCCGCTTGATTGGCATCACATCCACAAGCATCCACTCCCTCCACCACCAGTGCTCAGTAGCAGCAGTGTGTACTAGCTACAAGATGCGCTGCAGAAATTCACCCAAGATCCTCAGACAGCACCTTCCAAACCCACAACCACTTCCATCTAGAAGTGCAGCAGATACATGGGAACACCACCACCTATAACATCCCCCACCACCCCCCTACCGAGCCACTCACCATCCTGGCTTGGAAATGTATTACCGTTCCTTCAGTGTCATTGAGTCAAAATCCTGGAATTCCCTCCCACCACAACAGCATTGTGGCTCAAACTACACCAAACGGACTACAACAGTTCAAGAAAGCAGCTCAAATGCACCTTCTCAAGTATAGCTAAGAATGGGCAATAAGTGCTGGCCCACGTCCCATGATTGAGTAAAAATAAATAAACTATGGACCTGTTCTGGCTGACCCTTAAAGGGGGCTACATTTCTAACACTGACAATCATTGCGTTAGACATTCATGTCCCACCAGTGAATACAACAAGACAAAGCAGATCAGAGGAGGTTCACTTCACTAATTGCTGGGCTGAAGGGGTTTGTTTTCTGAGGAAAGGTTGGGTACGCTGGACCTGTAACCACTGAAATGTAAAAGAAGGAGGATGTGATATTGTTGAAATGTGAATGATCCTGAGCTGCCTTGACGAGGTGAATACTGAAAGGATGTTTCTTCTCATTGGATGAGCTTGAATTAGGGAACACTATTTAAAAATTGAGAGATGGAGATGAGGAGAATTCCTTTCCTCAGAGGGTGATGAGTCTGAATTCACTTCCCAGAGATCTGAGGAGGAGGGTCATGGAATAATTTTTAGGGCAGAGGTAGATAAGTTCTTGCTTGATCGGATCAGCCATGACCTTACTGAATGGCGAATAAGGCTTGAAATGTCAAACGTTCCACTCCTGCTCCTGATCCATCTGTTTGTACATTGCTTCACTGGAAACAGGTTGTCCACTGGCTAATTATAAATGGGAACAGGCAGCTGAAAAAGTGAAGGTAGGATCCAAGGTTCAATTTTTACACCAGGCTTTCTCGTATTCTCGGTTACTAACCTCTTCAGTCCTTCCTGCCTTGTACAGATCTACCTGACGGGAAGCCCATCTGCACCGTGCTATCTGTTAATGATAATCAGGATATAGCTCTGTGGTGTTCATGGGAAGGTGGGAACCCCCCAGCAACTCTGCAGTGGGTTGACACACAAAGTCATGGTGTCAATGTCGAGGGTCTATCCAGTATTTCAAGAGTAAAAGTGGGACGAGAGACCTCCAACAACAGCACATACTCCTGCCGAGCCTCTCACCCAGCTCTGAGAGCAGACTGGTCCTGCAGAACCACTGCATGTGAGTATAACTCATCTGTAAATGATGTCCTGGGCAGACTATGCACATCACTGTTTTCCCCTATTCCACCTTTAGTTCTTTCCCCTTCTCTGGAATGCAGTTAACAGAATCATAGAATTCCTACAGTGTGGAAGTAGGCCATTTGGCCCATCAAGTCAATACTGATCCTCTGAAGAGCATCCCACCCAGACCCACCCAGACCCACCCCCCTGCCTTATCCCTGGGACCCTGCATTTCCCATGGCTAATCCACCCTGCTTGCACATCACTGGACATTCTGAGCAATTTAGCATGGCCAATCCAACTAACCTGCACATATAGAGTCATAGAGATGTACAATATGGAAACAGACCTTATGGTCCAACTCATCCATGCTGACCAGATATCCTAAATTAATCTAGTCCCATTTGCCAGCATTTGGCCCACATCCCTCTAAACCCTTCCTGTTCATATACCCATCCGGATGCCTTTTAAATGTTGTAATTGTACCAGCCTCCTCCACTTCCTCTGGCAGCTCATTCCATACGAGCAACCACCCTCTGTGTGAAAAAGTTGCTCCTTTGGTCCCTTTTAAATCTTTCCCTTCTCATCTTAAACCTATACCCTGTAGTTTTATACTTCCCTACACTGGGGAAAAGACCTTGACCATTCACCCATCCATGCCCTGACTGAGGGAGCCACACAGTTTGACCTCAGTCAAAGCATTTCACTAAGGCTTCCTAGATGGCACCTTCCAAACTCATGACTTTTCACTCCCACAAGGACAGGGGCAGCAGATACATGGGAACACCACAACCTGCAAATTCCCCTCCAAGTCAGTCACCGTCCTGGCTTGGAAATATATCACCGTTCCTTCACCGTCTCTGGGTCAACTTCCTGGAACTCCTTCCCTAGGGGCATTGTGGGTATATTGACACCCCCAAAAGATTGGATTGGTTCAAGAAGGCAGTCCACACTCAATAGGCCGAAAGGCTTTGTCTGTACTGTATGATTTCATGTCTGTATGAAGATAGCTCACCATCACATTCTCCAGGGTAGTTAGAGATGGGCAATAAATAGCCAGTGATGCCTACATCTCTTAAAAGAATAAAACAAATAAGTAAAAGCCACCAAATATTGATAAAGATTGGCAGCCCTATCTGATGTTCCTTTATTGTGTACCTTAGCTCACTCTCAGTAATGTTCCTGGTCTGCACTATATTATGAAAATGATCATGAGCTCACAAAAGCAACTCCAAATTTCCGAAAATGTTGATGGACACCAACTGATAATGAAGATATATCAGAATAGTTTGCACTGTGCTTCTGCATTACTTTTGCGACAATGAATCAAATCCCGCTGGGAGGGGGAGCATCTGGTTCAATTTCCCATTGCACATTTCAGCTCCAATTAATGTGGCAGCATAGCTTACTGAAGGCGTGGGTTGAGAATGAGTTGAATGGGGCTCCAAGGCTGGAGTTAACTATGGGACCAGCATTATATTTCCTTACCCCATAGTGAGCATTGTGAAAGAAACAACGGAATGACAGAGCAGGAGCTGAAGCAGAATTAAACCAGCCACTAAAAGGGGAGGTGATAGCCTAGTGGTATTATTGCTCAACTGTTAATCCAGAGACCCAGACAACGTTCTGGGGACCCAGGTTCAAATCCCACCATGGTGGATGGTGGAATTTGAATTCAATTAAAATGTCTGCAATTAAGAATCTAATGATGACCTTGAATTGATTGTTGGGAAAAACCCATCTGGTTCATTAATGTCCTTTAGGGAAGGAAACTGCCATCCTTACTTGGTCTGGCCTACATGTGACTCCAGACCCACTGACTCTGAACTGTCCTCTGGGCAATTAGGGTTGGGCAAAATTGCTAACTAGCCAGCAACACCCTCATCCTGTTAATGAATAAAAAAAAAACTGAAAGAGGAAAAAGTAAGATTGAGGGAGAGAGAAAACAGGTGTAAGAGAAAATAAGAAAATGAATGATTATAAATTAAAATTTTACAAATCTCTGACAGCTATTGACTGTTTGCATGCATGAGACTGAGATAAAGTTGGTCCCTTTTAGAGTCTGAATTGTCGATTGACATTACATTGCTGTCTCGTTAAGAGAGTTGTTAAATCTAAGGCTGAATTTCCTGCAGTTTGCAATCCAGCAAGTTATTATTCACAATGGGGAGGCCTAGAATGTGATCCTGTCTGTCTGGAACATGATGTAATCAATCAGCAAGAGATTCTCAACTGATAGTGATACCCTGAGTTTATTGCATTAGCAACACACAAATAGCCCTCTGATATTTACACAGGAAAATTGACCAAATAATGGAATGAATGAAAGACAAAAACAACTAGCGTGTATCAGTTTTCTCAGGGTTGTTTTGATATTTTATTAAACTATTTTACAAGAAAATTCCAACTTGTAAAGAACAAAATTTCTTTTGGAGATGATATATAACTTGTTGTATAGCTACTAGTACAGGAGACAAGATGGTCATTAAGAATGCAGACTAACCCTAAAAACATCAGTTTAGATTTAAAGCTTTGTAAAAAGGGGATGATCTGTGATTATCAGGAAAATCTTATTTTGGGATACATGTGACAATAGGCTGGTCTTGTGTTTCACAACATATTTTAGACTCATTCGAAATTACTTTTCTGTTTTGTCCTTTCACTCACCGTGGCTTCCAATAGAACAAAATTATTCTATGTTTTCAGCGTCACCTGAAGGGAAACCTAGTTGTTCGGCTACTGCGGTGAAGAGTTTGGAATACACCATGCTGTCATGTAGTTGGGAAGGAGGCTTACCTCAGGCCTCACTGCACTGGAAAAATTGGAGAGGCGACTTCTTGGGTAAAGCTGAACAGTCCATCAATAATCAGGTGCTACAGTCTAGTCCAACCTACAGTGGCAAGGAGTTTATATGTCAAGCGACACATCCTTTGAGCAGGAGCAGGGCATGCAGCATCCAACTAGGTATGGAGTCTCACAGGAGAGTCTTCATTTTAAAGTATTTATTGCACTTAGGCCATCTATCCTGAATATCATACTTTTATAACCATGTAGGAGAGTAGCTATTCTTTGATTATTGTGCTCAACTCTTAGCGGTTTAGTTAAAGGTGTTGCCACAGATACTGAGATAAGCAACCAATATGGTTCTGGTTATCAGGGATCTCAATTATGAGGAAAGATTAAAGACATTGGCATAAAAGCAGAATGCCAAGTTTGGTGGTAATTTGAAATGAAGGCAGAAATACTCAGCAGGTCAGGCAGCACGGGTGGATAGAAACACGGTTAAGTATTCAGATGTCCATGGGAGCTGTTGGATGTGCTGAGTATCTCTAGAATTTTCCATCATTTTTAATAATGTTGGGCTTGTTTACTGATCTACAAAAGAGATTTCAAGGTCACCTAACTGAGTTTGTCATTATTACAAAGGGATTTTGCTTGGTCACTGTGGTACAATGTTTAGAAAATAAAATAATGTAATGAAATAATGTAAAGCTGCGCTTGAAAATTAGAATCCATTGTGTTTGTTCTGTTTTCAGAGACACCTGATCTTGTCACCCCAAGAAACACCCTGACAGTGTTTGAGGGGAGTGATGTCCATTTGACCTGCATCCTTAAAGCTGCTTACCCAACCTCGGAGATCATCTGGCACAATAATAGGAACGAAAGTGTCTGGCTCATGCCCAAAAAGTACCTGCTGCACCAGGAGACCTTTTGGTCGAATCTCACTATTCGGGAAACTGATGGAGACCGTGACAACGGAACTTACTGGTGCACAGCTAGCAATGTGGTGGGGAGTTCAAGGCTTAACATCCAGCTCCGTGTGAACAGTGAGTGATTGTTACAGTGGGAATTAGTACTTGTATTGTGTACTCTTTGGTTATACATTACACTGACAGTGTGGATGTATATCGGTGTAGGTGTGTCCAAGTGGGTGTGTCTATGTATGGGAGTGGATAGAGGTGAACCGGTGTGTGGATGTATGGGTAAGTGTCTGAGTGTTTCAGTGTGAAGCTGTAAGTATGTTTATGTGAATGCATGGAATTTTGTGTGTGTTTCTGTGTGTATTTTATATGTGTGTGTGTATTTTGTATATATGTATGGATTTTGTATATGTGTGTGTGTATTTTGCGTGTGTGTGTTTCTGTGTGTATTTTGTGTGTGTGTGTGTTTCTGTGTGTATTTTGTATGTGTGTGTGTTTCTGTGTATATTTTGTATGTGTGTGTGTATTTTGCGTGTGTGTGTGTTTTGCGTGTGTGTGTTTCTGTGTGTATTTTGTGTGTGCGTGTTTCTGTGTGTATTTTGTATGTGTGTGTGTATTTTGTATGTGTGTGTGTATTTTGTATGTGTGTGTGTTTCTGTGTGTATTTTGTATGTGCGTGTGTTTCTGTGTGTATTTTGTATGTGTGTGTGTTTCTGTGTGTATTTTGCGTGTGTGTGTTTCTGTGTGTATTTTGCGTGTGTGTGTTTCTGTGTGTATTTTGTGTGTGTTTCTGCGTGTATTTTGTATGTGTGTGTGTTTCTGTGTGTATTTTGTCTGTGTGTGTATTTTGCATGTGTGTGTATTTTGTGTGTGTGTGTATTTTGTATGTGTGTGTGTATTTTGCATGTGTGTGTGTTTCTGTGTGTATTTGCATCTCTGTGTGTGCATGTCTTGGTATATATTTTGTGTGTGTGTGTGTTTCTGTATAGTTTTAGTGTGTGTTTTCTTTATTCATTTTTATATATATGCCGTTATGTATGCTATAACACATACCACATGAACCACCATATGCTACTTACAACATAACATGTACCAAACATTTATCACCTGGTTATTGTACGTATTTATTTCATAACTAAGAAATTCTTAAATGTCTCATGAAATTTCCTTATAGTAAACCTGCCTCTCCCCCTCAGTGGAGCTGTTCCTCTCAGGGCTGGGATGGAGATTTATAGATTGCTTTCATGTAAATTCAATTAATTGGTGTTGAAAGCAAGTCGTCATCATACCCCAATCCTGGCTGAGTCACAGCCTGTATCTATTCCATTCCTGATTGTGTTGTAACCTCTATCTCTCTCTCTAGTCTTTTTAAGTTCATTCACAGAATCTGAGCATCACTGCCTAGGCCATCATTTATTGCCCTCTTTAATCGCCCTTGAAAAGATGATGGGGAGTCACTGCCTTAAATTCAGTTGAGTAGTCCATTAGGCCATTGTGCAGACAGTAGGGAGTCAATAACATTATTGTGAGTCTGATAGTTATTCTATGTTTTAGCCTAATACTGCTCTGGCACATTTAGATACTTAACTGGAATCATAGAATCCCTGCAGTATGGAAGCAGACCATTCGGCCCATCAAGTCCACACTGACCCTCCAAAGAGCATCCCACCCAGACCCACCCCCTTACCCAAACCCATAGCCATGTATTTCCCATTTCTAACTCACCTAGTTTGCACATCCCTGGACATTATGGATAATTTAGCATGGTCAATCCACCCTGTCCTGCACATCTGGGCACCTGGAGGAAACCCACACAGACATGGGAAGAATGTGCAAACTCTACACAGACAGTTGCCCGAGGGTGGAATCAGACCTGGGTCCTTGGTGCCATGAAGCAGCAATGCTAACAATCATGCCACCCCTTCTCCATAACATTCCATGGTTGTAGGAGATTTCATATATACTCTATATCATTTTTGGTTTCTTTATGCTTGAGTAAGTCTCCTCTTGTCCTGATGTACTGTAACACTTTTATTTATATCTGTGCTTTGCAGTTTGCTGAGCACAACTCTCTAATGCAGTGTCTAAAATCTCTTTCCTTTACATACTTTATTTAGTTTGATGTCATCTCTTGGCCTCCTTTTGATATCAGAGCCACATCATTATTTACACCTTCAGTTATAAAATAAGATGTAGACCAGACCGGGTAGAGATGGCAGAATGCCATCCATAAAGCCTGAGGCTGTTGACTTGCTCGCCAAGCTGGCTTGTATATGGCATATACAAACCCATACAGATCAGAACTGGAAATGACAGTACTCACTGTAACGGACCGGACAGTATAAATTCCAAACGGAGTAGAATAACATCACTTCGTCGGAAGCTCCACTGATGGTGTTACCTAGCATGGTGACGAAATGTCTAAACGAGAACAAGTCAGCTCGGTGAGCAAGTCAACAACCTCCTCCACAACCCGAGCTACACATCTCTGCCAAAACTTTAAATCCATAAAGGCTGTTTGGTGGTACAGTGGTAATGCCGCTAGACTAGTAATACACTGGCCCAGGTGAATTCTCTGGGGACAGAATTCATATCCTGCTATGGTAACTGGTGGAATTTAAATTCAGTTGATAAAAATTTGGAAGTGAACACTAGAGTGAACCATGAAATTGTCATCAATTGTTGTAAACATTATTCTGGTTCACCAGTGTTCTTTAAGCCATCTGTGGAATGGCCTTCTGAAAGGACCAAACCACATGGAACCAAACCAATTAGGGACCGTTAATAAATTGTCAGCGATGGCTAAATCCAAATTTTACAAAAGTCCGCGTTCCCTCCCTACCAATTTCCACCAAAAGTTTTCCAGCACCAAGCTGCTGGATGGCTGTACGTTTGTTTGCTGTGCTAACCATATGTTGTATGTGACTCCAGACCAATAGCAATATGGTTGACTCTTAGCTGCCCTGTGAAATGGCCCTGGGAGCTAATGAGATAGCTATCCAGCTATCGCAGACTCTGATAAAAGAAGTGGAACTGGACAGGCCACCCAGCATCCAACGAGACAACAGCCCACACAGCCCTGTAAAGTCCTCCTTACTAACAAATGGGAGCTAGTGTCAAAATTGGGAGCGCTGTCTCACAGACCCGTCAAACAACAGCCTGACACAGTCATACTCATGGAATCATACCTCACAGACAATGTCCCAGTGACACCAGTAGCATGCCCGGGTAAATATTGTCCCGTTGTCAGGACAGCCCCAGCAGAGGCAGCAGCACAATGTTGTAAAAATTCATCTGGTTCATTAGTGTTATTTAGGGAAGGAAATCTGCCTGGTCTGGCCTACCTGTGACTTCAGGTCCACAGGAAAGTAGTTCACTTGGAATGGCCTTCTGAAAGGGCCAAACCACATGGAGCCAACCCAATTAGGGACTGTTAATAAATTGTCAGCGATGGCTAAATCCAAATTTTACAAAAGTCCACGTTCCCTCCCTACCAATTTCCACCAAATGTTTTCCAGCACCAAGCTGCTTGATGGCTGTACATTTGTTTGCTGAGCTAACCATATGTTTTTCTCCCTATCCATGACAGAGTACCCAACGCCCCCAAATGTCACCATCAGCAAGCTCCTGTACGGCCGCCAGAGAACAGAGGTGGTTCTTGAATGGATGACTCGAGGCTCTGGTGATTTAACAGGCTTCATGATACAGAGGAGGCCCGCAAGGCGATCCATTAGAGTCCGGGGCACAACTGAACAGGAAGAGTCTATGACCGATCCATACAGCCCCTGGCAGATTGTCGCCAGCTCCATCGATCCCGCCATCAGAGGCCACAAGCTGGGGGGCATGGACCCCAGGGTCTTATATGCTTTCCGCATCCTGGCTGTCAATCACAAGACAACAGGGTACCCTTCAGAAGTGAAAACTCCAGGTAGGTGATGACATCTTTTGGAAGAATTGAAAAATGTTTTCCTGGCGACAGCAAGCTGTTATCTCCCGCTGGTTTCTATTTTGTATTTTATTGAGATGGGGCTGACACTGGTGAGGCACCTTCACTGAGACATCGAATCTCCCGTTGCAATTGTTCTTACAAATGGAATGCCTGGTCAACTGGAGCCACATGTGGGTCAGATCAGGCAGGGCCATGACCAACGCACTTCCCTAAAAGACACCAGTTCTTTTTTTTGACACTCTGGCAGCAAACCTATGTTACAAAGGACCAATTCAACCACCAAATAGATTACCAGGGGGTTGCAATGGGAGAGAGATCCACTGAGGTCCTTCCGGAGGGAGGAGGATAACTTCTTCAAGGCAGGCATCCCTAGAAGAGGCTTTGCAGTGAAGTTATAACTCAATCAGAGATAGTAAGAACTGCCAGTGCTGGAGTCAGAGATAACACAGTGTGGAGCTGAAGGAACACAGCAGGCCAGGCAGCATCGGAGGAGCGGGAAAGTTGACGTTTCTCCTTTGAAGAAGGGTCCTGACCCGAAATGTCAACTTTCCTACTCCTCTGCTGCCTGGCCTGCTGTGCTCCTCCAGCTCCACACTGTGTTATCACCAATTCAACTGCGACATGCCATTGAAGTTCCGGTCCAATTACATAACTATACAGACATATCGATCATTCCAAAAATCAAACTAACAAGCTAACTTTAAGACAGCTCAGATGGGAGGGATGTTATGTTGTGCTGTGTATCGGTACATCGTTTAGTTCTAATATAAGCCCCATAGGTGTTAACACAACGTTGGAAGCCTCCCAGATCTGGAGGGAGCTTCCCTGCTGCTCTATGGAGGGAGTTGCCAGAAACTTGGTTTTTGAGAGTAACATTGAAGGAAAGCAACAAATACTAGCAGTGGTGGCAGTGCTCCTATCTCTCCATTAATATTCATCTCCTCCTCCAAATCACATTAAAAACATTGTTTAAAAGCTGGACACAGTCCTCCTGAAGAGGTCTCACCAGAGCCCTGTACAATCTTGACGTGATGTCACAACTCCTATACTCAATGGTCCAAGCAATGAAGGCAAGGGTGCTAAATGCCTTCTTAACCACGCTGTCAACCTGTGACACAACTTTCAAAGAACTATGAACCTGAACCTCTAGGTATCTCTATTCTACAACAGTACCCATGCCCTGCCATTAACTGCATAAGTCCTGCCCTTGTTTGTTTTATCAAAATGCAATACCTCGCATTTATCCAAATTAAACTCCATTTGCCACTCCTCAGCCCATTGGCCCAAGATCCCCTTATAATCTTAGATAACTTGCTTCACTGTCGATTAGACCACCAATCTTGGTGTCATCTGCAAATTTACTAACTGTTCCTCCTAAATTCTCATCCAAATCATTTATATAAATGGCAAACAACTGTGGACCCAGCACCAATCCCTGCAGAACACTCCTTAAAACTCGAATCAGAGATAGTAGGAACTGCAGATGCTGGAGAATCCGAGACAACAAGGTGCAGGGCTGGATGAACACAGCAGGCCAAGCAGCATCATAGGAGCAGAGAGGCTGACGTTTCGGGCCTAGACCCTTCATCAGAAAAGG